ATGGATGGATGGATGGATGGATGGATGGATGGATGGATGGATGGATGATGGATGGATTTAAAAATGCTCTTTCAACTGATTCTTATTTTTACTACTTACTTTTACAGCCTTTTGTTGCTCCTTATAATTTTTTTAGATGTTTAGCTCCCATCCATCCATCCATCCATCCATTTTCTTTCGCTTATCCGAGGTCGGGTCGTGGGGGTAGCAGCCTAAGTACGGAGGCCGAGACTTCCCTCTCCCCAGCCACTTGGGCCAGCTCCTCCGGGGGAATCCCGAGGCGTTCCCAGGCCAACCGAGAAACATAGTCCCTCCAGCGTGTCCTGGGTCTTCCTCTGGGTCTCCTGCCGGTGGGACGTGTCCAGAACACCTCACCAGGGAGGCGTCCAGGAGGCATCCTAAACAGATGCCCAAGCCACCTCAACTGGCTCCTCTCGACGTGGAGAAGCAGCGGCTCTACTCTGAGTCCCTCCCGGATGATCGAGCTTCTCACCCTATCTCTAAGGGAAAGCCCAGACACCCTGTGGAGAAAACTCATTTCGACCACTTGTATCCGAGATCTCCGAGATGTTTAGCTCCCATAAATTTTAAAATGACCTATTTTTATTTTAGTTTCAACCATTAATAGGTTCCACTGTGAATAAAATATGGTGTTACAAGATTTGTAAATTGTTGCTTTCTAATCTAAAAAAGTTAAATCTGGTCCTCTGGACATTCAAAAAAATAAAATAAAAATTGTAGAACGTTTGGTCTTTCAGCACAGAAGATCAACATCATCAGGCCAGGATTCTGCGGTCTACACTCATCTCCAGACCAGTGGTCACTCTTTCAGGGATGAAGATGTTCACAACCTTGATAGAGAGGAACGATGGTTTGAGAGAGGAGTAAAGGAGGCCATCTTTGTGAAAAGAAATCGTCCATCATTAAACAGGGGTGGAGGCCTCCGTGTTCAACTGTCCCCCACTTACAATGCTGTGATTGCTAGTATCACTCAACCCCCTGTGAACAGTAAACAGCCATCAGTGTGCTAATGATCCATTGTTAGGCTGATGGTCCTTCTTGAGCATGTGATCAGCTGGTTTTGGTTGTCAGCAGCAAACTGGTTGATCCACTCTGAGAAGGTGCTATTTATAAGACTGAGCTGAATGCAGCACCTCAGACTGAGGAAGTCTTTCGGATGAAAGACGAAACATTTCGACATTTTTTTTTTTTTTTTTTTTGAATGTCCAGAGGACCAGGTTTAACTTTTTTAGATTTTTCTACCTGGATTATTGAGCATGCATCAGGATATGTTGCTTTCTTAGTTACATTTTATACATATTACACAATATCCCAACTTTTGTGACATTAGCGCTGTAAAATCTGAACATAAAAACTTACACAGCACAGCTAGTCCTGAAGGAACAGTTTTGTTTATGTTTTAGCGCCATGTAAGTTTTGGAATAAATATTAAATTTTATTATTATTATCCATCCATCCATCCATCCATTTTCTTTACCCGCTTATTCCATTTTGGGTCACGGGGGTCGCTGGTGCCCATGTCCAGCAATCACTGTGCGAGGGGCGGGGTACACCCTGGACGGGTCGCAAGTCCATCACAGGGCCACATAGAGACAAACGAGACAAACAAACATTCACTCTCTCACTCACACCTAGGGACAATTTAGAGTTACCAATCAGCCTAACATGCATGTTTTTGGACTGTGGGAGGAAACCGGAGTACCCGGAGAAAACCCACGCATGCACAGAGAGAACATGCAAACTCCACCCAGAAAGGCCCCTGGACCGGGGTTTGAACCAAGGACCTGCTCGCTGAGAGGCAGCAGCTCTACCAGTTGCGCCACCGTGCTGCTATTATTATTATTATTATTATTATTATTATTATTATTATTATTATTATTATTATTATTATTATTATTATTGTTGTTGTTAAGACAAAAAGTCATTTTTGATTTCATCTCATGAACTTTTTGACTCTATCTTTACACAACAGAAGGATGTAAAAAAATCACAGCAAATACTAAGATTTGTATTAGTTGCTATTTTAGCTAATATTCAGAAATATTTCCTCTCTAAAGGTCAGGAAAAATGAGCTTTACTTTGTAATGACCCAACAGCTGTGCTGCAATCTCTAATAACATAAATTAACTGATAATTTGGTGCAAGCTGACAGAGTAGTGGTGAAACTGTAACTCTTATCATATTAAAGACGCATTACAGAAATATGTGATTTAAAAAAATATGTATTTAGGTTTCTAATTAGTCCAAAATTATCGTCTTAGCTGCAGTGTTGGTGACACACCATAGATATTACACTCTTACCATGAAATCCTCTGATTATCTTCAGGCCATATGTCCACCACACTGTGGGCTCTGGCCTGGCCTTGACCGTGCAGTGCAGGGTGAGGTTGGAGCCCTGAGGCAGGCTCATGTTGGTTGTGGAGGAGCTGACAGAGGGTTTCATGCACGCCCCGAGCTCAACCTCATGGAAGAACTTCCCCGCCCTAAAGTCCGGCTCTGAGCAAGTCAAGTAGGAGTTCATCAGAATAATAGGGGGGCTCAGGGACGAGACAAACTCCACGAAACCTTTCAGGCGGCAGTCGCACAGCCAGGCGTTGTCGTGTAGTGCCAAGACAACATTCGGCCCGGACACCTCCCGTTCTTCCACGTTCTGCAGCTTTTGGTAAAGAGGCCAGTTCTGGAAGACCTCCTTTGAAATGACCGTGAGCCGGTTGAAGGACAAGTCTAAGTATGTAAGACCTGGCAGGAATTTCAAGGCATGCTCTGGCAGGACATCCAGCAGGTTGTGCTTCAGGTCCAGAATCTTCAGAGACGGCGTGTCCTCGAACGCTGTCCATGGTACTGAACGCAGCTTGTTCCCCTGCAAACGGAGCTCGGTCAAGTTGCCCAAACCTTCCAGACCTTTGGAGTTTATAAGAGTAATGTCATTAAAGTTCAACCACAGGTTTTCCAGGGAGGTAGTTTTTGAGAAAGCCCCTTTGGGAATTTCAGTAAAGTGAGATTTTTCTATGCGTATTTTGGTCAAATCATCTGGAAGTTTCTCTGGTATGGCTCCAAACGCGCTCTCCTCCATACATATGAGTGACCTGGGGATTAAAACATGATCTGTATGTAATTAACAAGTTACTTTCTTTTACAAATATCCAAAAGTGGCACTTTCAGGCTTAAACTGCATCATTCTTGAGTTTGTTTTCTTCAAATTGCTGACCTACAGTACCGACACAAATAAACACGTTAAAAATACCTGTGTCCTTGTAAACACATGGCATCAGGCCTTACCTTCCATGTCGGTCATCAACACAGCTGCATCCGCGCAAACACAGAGTGGAAGTATCACACGATTGAGTGCTGAACACAATTAGGACAAAAATGTAACAAACTGTGTCCATAGTCCGCAAAAAGTCCCAAATATGAAGCTCACATTCGTGCTGAAGAGCAGCACGGCCGACGACAGAAGCCTATTAAGGCTAATCCCTGACATACTGAGCAGGAACAAGTGACATCTAATTCTTGGGAAAGACGTGCACGATTAACTCTTTACTGTGCCACAGCATCAGATGCACCTTTCATTGGAAAGCACAGTTTGCCAAGTGAGTGCGTTCAGGCAGCTGCTTCTGTGAGGAAATCTGATTAAAATGTGCAATGTGAAATTTGAAAATTTTCATGTACATTTGATGTAAATGTGGGGAATCATAGTTTCACATGTAAATAAACTTATATGAACACACATTCTCCATGTAGATTTGGAACTAAAATACTGGTGGAATTTCCATGTGGGAAATGGTAAACTGCCATGTGACATATAAAAAATGCTTTTTTTTTTTTATTCAGAGAACTTCATGTGAAAAGTAACATGATGAAATAACAAATTTGGATATAATATGTGTTTTGTATGTGTATTTTGTAGATTTGTGAAAAACACATGAATTTTAAAAGTAAACAAATGTTCTTTCCCCATGTAAATTATTAACGTTTTACATGTGACGTATGTAAAACATATGGGAAACACTTTTTAATTTTCAGTGTATATTTGGAATAGAAAAAAAAAACTGCTTTGTACTGGAAAATCAAATGATTTCACATGTGAAAAAATATAAATCAGCATGTTTTTTTCTTCTGATATCACATGTAGGTTTTTAATAAATGCAAGGCATAAACATCAAATGTTAAAATGTGTTGAAATACCATGTGATGGCAGATCCCATGTCAGTGATTTTGGAATATTTTCAACATACTGATGTGTTCAGGTGCAGTCTTATGGTTTACCACATGTGATCACATGTGGAAAACATTCATTCCTGTTTTCATTGTTTGTTTGCATGTTAGTTTGCTTATTTGTTTTTATTATTTAAAAAAATGGGTTAACAAAAGAGCACTTTGTGGTTTGATGTGATGAGTTCTTTTGGCAGCCTTATTTTTATTACAGATTCAGAAAGTGTTTTTATTAAAGCTTCTTGATATTTTTTAAGATTTTGTTTTGTAGTAATTAAATACATAAGTTGATCTTTTTTATATTTTGTGGCTTAGCCTCTCATATAGCTAGAGGTCCGATTCAAGTTCAGCTCTAGTCTTTATTAACAACCTCCCTGTCATCTAATGCTAAAGAGCAGGAGTTTCTGAATGTTTTCATGTGTGGGACAAATCTATCAACATGAAAGGACTCGTGGGCCACAAAAATGCGAATTTAACTCTCAACTTGAATAATATTTTGGAGAAAGGACAAAGGTTTACTAATTTTGGTGGAGAAAGAGTTTTAAATTGTTGTAAATCCAAAACATTAAAAGCCTCTAAAACACTAAGCTTATATATTTTTGTATAAAAATGATTTGATTTATTTAATTTGGTGGGTCTATGTTTGTTGTTGCTTTGTGTTTGGAAAGTTGATTTTAGTCTGTTCTCAGCAACAAATACATCATTTGAGTAAGTGTCATTTTAAAAGGGGATTGATCAGCCTTTTGGACCATGGATGACCCAAAAGGCTGATGGAAGTTTTGAAAAATTGTCCAGCTGTCAGTCGCGACAATAAAATAATAGAAGGTTTGATAAAGTTGATCAACTCGTATGTCAATGATACCATGTTATATTCATTTAAAAATGTCTATTTTCCATCTTGATTCTTTTATCAACTGCCATATTTAACCAAGTTTTATGAATCATTATCCAAAAGTCTCCTTTCTGGTAGAAATCAGTAAAGGTTTTTGGTGCTTTGTACCATGAAGTGAAAATAAAACTATTATAGCCAAAGGTTTGTATTTTCTTTAATATTGCTTATTTTGAGAAGATTTTTTATCATCCATTTTGCTGTGAAGCCTAAACATTATATAAAAAATAATTACCAATCTGCAGAAAGTCTGCATTGACCTCGTAAGCCTGCTGGCTAAAATGATAGCATTTTTAAACTGCAGTTGTGGGCTGCACAAAATCACTCTAAGAGCCCCAAATGGCCCTCAGGATGCACTTTGGGCACCCGTGCTACAGAGCACATACGTATAAAGTTTAAAGTAAAAGTGAACGATTGTATTGTAGTTAGGAATGTACAATGCTATCGGCATTATCGGTATCGGCTGATATTAGCAATAAAGTTAAATATCGGACATCGGCCATTCCATCATAATAACTCATCAATATACTGTAAAAGGCGCTGTTTTTGTTGTGACAAGGATGCCTGCAGTGCAGCACAACGTTATGACATGACGCATGCCATTGAGTTTAGATTTGTGAAAATTTACAAATTTGCACAGTTCGAGTGTTGTCATTGTGTTAGAGAGTAAATGTCATGAATAAATTTGACATTAAACATAATCCAAGTTGAAAGGTGAACACACGCCGCCCCCCCCCCCCCTTTTGGCATCTGCATTTGGTAGCAGGCCAAACTGACAAAGACCATGCAGAATTTTGTAGTATTTTTTAATTTCACAGCAGAGAAAGCTATGCAGTCTCTGTAAATAGGTGTAGGGAGAAAAAAAATCGGTATTGGTACCGGCTATCGGCTGAATAAGTTTTAACATATCGGCATATTGGATATCCGCCAAAAATTCAATATCATGCATCACTAGTTGTAGTACAGATATACAATCACAGCATTACTCAGTAAACTGATATAAAAGTGTATTTATTTATTCAAATATGACTGGAATAAACAGATCTACGTACAACAAATTACGGTGCCTCTATTCAGCATGAAATAGGAATTTTATTGTTTTTCATTGCTGAGAATAAAAATATCTAATGTTTAATTTTTACTTGGTATTTTCCACTGTATTTACATTGTGTCATAAGTCAGTCCTTCCTGTACTTCTTTCCAGCTCCAGCTTCTCTCTGTTCATCAGTGTTGAACCATGCCTGTGTGTATATCTTCTCTGTGAACTTATATAAACAGAGGCACAGGATTAACTGTTGATGTAAGTATGCATCGTCCAAGAAATATTTACAAATCGTACACATTCATATGATAGAAACTATATATTCACCATAAGGTTCCCTATAAGTCAGGTTAGGTTAAAAAAGGTTGGGATTTTTTTTTTCTGTTAGGACATGCAAGTCACAAAAAAATATTTACAGTGTTTGCTGTAATCTGACTCGTTTTTTTACAGGTTTTGGGAATAAAAGAAAATATTCTTTTACAAATACAATCAAGTCTTACTTTTCATGGATGAGTGTGTGTGTGAGCACAACAGTTCCTGGAGTAACAATCCACAAAAAATTTTCTGGACATAAAGGGTTTGTCAAACTGATATTTCCATTACAGTGCAACGAGCAAAAGTCCTTTGATAGAAGTTGGCTCTCTGTGGTGGTGGAGTAGGTGGTGTTATCCAGCGAGGAGGAACAGGTGGAGGGGAATCCCATGGTGTGGGCTTATGGGAGTGAATTTTGGGAGGATTGACATCAGGATGTTGCGTAGGAGGGGTGTACGGGTAGTAATGGGGATATGGATGTGTGTGAAGACGAGGGAGGTGATGGGGATGTGGATGGGTGTTGGGTTTTGAACTGTTGTGTGGATGAGTGCGAGGAAACTGAAGTGGAATGGGAGCCGGAGCTGGAGCATGATGTCAGCAGAAGTACTCGTTAGGCTGTCCCTCTATCTTTGCTGTGGATTCTGAGTCTAGGCTGGAGCGGGCCGACAGCAGCCTGTTGGACTCCTCTGGATTCAGTCTGTTTAAATATTCGCCCTCGAGCCCTTTGGCCTTTGTGCCAGGAGAAAGTGTCTCAAAAGTCACATATGAATCTTGGATGTCCTTTGATTTCTTTCCCCAATACTTTTTAATGCGCCTCTTCAGTGCCCCGCAGCATACAATGACAGTGAGCGGGACTGCGATGACACAGGCCACGGTGATTACAATCACATTAATCAGCCTCTGGGTGCCGGTAGCACTCGCTGCTTCATCAGTGGAAAATATCACACACTGTTCTTTCTTGGGGATCAGCCCCTTCACACACACACAGGCAATGTACTTGGTTCTGGGCACCAACCCATCAATTGTAACCCGGGTCTGGCCTGCTCCAACATTGATCTTTCTCATATCTCTTTCTCCAAACACTGCATACAACACACTGTATGCTGTTGTGTTCTTGGCTTTGGGTGCTCTCCAGTTCAGAGAGATTGTGTTGTCTGTGTCTCCCACCACCTTCACTGAGCGGACCACCCTGTCAGGGTCCTGTTGCAGCGATGAAGTGTTGGCCGATAGGTTACTCAGATTTGTTTTCTCCAGATCCAGCAGCGTGTCAGAGTTGGAGGAGGTTCCTGGCTCTTGGGTGACTCTATCTGTCAGGCTGTAGCCCACCAGTCCAGAATCTGAAGCAAGACCAGGCATGAGGTCAGCATCCATGGCAGGTAAATTTGAAGGGGTGGATGTTGGAGCTACATATCTGGCCACCAGTTTCTCTTGGTATGCAGCTTTGCCCATTTGGTTCTGCTTCTTGACTTTAGCTTTCTTGTCTGCGTTGGTCTGGTTTCCCTCTGGTTTGGGGGAGTTAGAGACCATGAGAGAAATGACAGCCTCTGCATTTCCAGCATAGTTTGTTGCCTTGCAGATGAATTTCCCTGAATCAAGCTGAGACACAGCTGAGACGCTGAGGATGGACCATGTGATCCCCTCCTTAGATGTTTCCTGCTGAACTGAGGAGGCAAAGAGTAGATAATATACTTGTTATTTAACAAATAGAGATTAAAAAAATGAATAGAAATCAAATCCATATCCCTACATAATAAGTATAAGGTGATTATACAACGTTGCATTCATTGATCATCATGTGTTGCGTAACTCTCTGTGACGTTCACAGCTGTCAGTCAGACTTACAGTCTTACTAACTCCAATGGCAGCTCTCTGTTTAATTAACAGCAGCACTGCAGAGCATGCAAATCATCTTATCTCACCCACAACACACAGAATATGTCATCTGACCTGACCTGTTCCATTCAGGTTTCGTCCGTCTGCCCTGCGCCATGTCAGGTCTGGAATGGGAACTCCGATAGTCCCACAACGAAGCAGCACATTGTTCCCAACCGCACTACGGACTCGTGCCACTGCGGTGTGGATTCGTGGGAGCTGACACTGCCGTAGCTCTGCATCGCTGAACAAGACTCCTGACAAACTTTCAGGGGCTGAACAGCGGAGTCTTGTATCGATGAAAGCCACAGACAGAGTGGGAGACTTCTGGAACTGGACCAGATCATAGAGCCGGCAGTCACACACCCAGGGGTTATCATGGAGACCTGAGGATGAGGACAAAAGTAAGGCTGCAGGGGAAAGAAAGGCATCCAGCTGTGTGCAAAGTGAAAGAGCAGCCCGCAGATGGTTGCTGTGGATGTTATGATTATAATCCTTTAAGAGGATTGACATTTAATTCATAAACTACTTCATGGCCATGATTATGGCAATAACAATGTTGGTGATTATGATGGCAAGTGAAATAGTTTAGCGGCCGGGCTTTTTGCCCTTTCACCTTTTGATTGTTGAGGCAAACAGCACCTGGAAGAGCTTTGTCTGCTTTTATTTAAAAAAAAAAACGTATATGTAGTGAAGCAAATGACAGCTGTTAGAAAATATAAAGAAAAAGGGCTACTTGTATTTGAGTTGAATTTTTCCCAAATATTTTATGGTATTTTCAATCACAGTTTACATTCTTTATTTGGAGCTCCCTGGAAAAAAGTTTTCAAAAATTGAATTTCCTTTATGGGTTTTCTTAAAATATTTACTTCATAGAAATGTACTGTATGATGGTAGTCATTTGGGACTTGTAGCCTTACTGTTACTCACTATTGATTAAAAAATGCATTGTGTTGTTGATCCTTTTTGCATTTGATGATCAACAAAGTTGAAAAATTATGACTTTATATCACTCAAGACGTCCAAAAAAGGCATTTTAAACTGAAACACATGCACGATGTCTTACCAAGGATCATCTTGGAGCTCTCTGGTCCCTGTGTGGGTTTAGCAGCCAGCCAAGTGGACAACACCTCCGCCGGCAGGGTCAGCAGGCTGTTACTGGACAGATCCAGGTAGGTGAGGTTCTTAATGTAAATCGTGGCCTCTGCGGGCAGCGAGGTGAGCTGGTTGTTGTGCAAATCGAGGAGTCTGAGGCTGGGCATATCCATGAGAGACTCCCAGGGAAAGGCAGTGAGAGCATTCCCATCCAGACGAAGCTCTTCCAGGTTGAACAACCCCCGGAAACTGTTGGGGCTCAGAGCCGAGAGCGTGTTGAAGGACATCCATAGGAATTCCAGACTGGAGAGGTAGATGAAGGCTTCGCTTGGAATCTGCTGGACGGACGTCTTCTCGATGCGCAACTTCGATGTGTCAACTGGGAACCCGACAGGCACAAGAGAAATGTCGGGGTCGTTGCATATTACGCTCCTAAAAAGGGAAAAGTTCATCCACAAGGGTTATTTGAATTATAAAACAACCCATTAAATAACAATACATTAGTTAGTAAGAAAAATTATATTTAAATTGCACTAAATAGGTCAAAGGCGGTAGAAAATGTTGTGGAATTATAATTCACAAAAAAATCTTAACAGGTTTCTAAAATGGCTTTTGAAAAATAATCCTGTATTTAATAAAATTAGACCTACATGAACTTTCTGAACTATTGTTTGCACATGTACTATCCATTTTTAAGTTCTTTCTTCCAGTTTTCTTACCTGGCTTTGGATCCATCGCTTAGGTTGTGGTAGAAACAGCTGCACTGTGAAGGGCAGCAGCTCACTGGGGGGAAAAGTTCAAAGGTGGCCACGCCGAGCCCCAGCAGCACCAGGACAGACAACATTTTGGCCCACTTTTACGCATGCACCAATTTGCCTACATATGCCCAGTTTGTGGCTGCCGAAGTCAGAGAGAAATGCTGTTTCCACTTTCATTTATTGGACTGTCATCCGCGTGGCTTTGTCCCGCCGCTGCGCTGTCTCATAGTGATCAGACTGCTGTGAGTCCCGAGATAAAAAGGATAGACAAGGATTACTGAGAAGAATGGCGTTCATTTCATCTGGATGCGTTTTGCATCCCCGAATCTGATAGGCTGCACACAGACGGTCCTATTTATTATCATGGGAGGAGGGGAAAATACACTTCTGAATGGTCATAATCCACTGGCATGCTTTTTTTTTCTTTCTCTCAAATGTTGCATGTTCATTTCAGCTCTGCCGTCACTGTTAAGCTTCAGGGCTAGACAAACTGTTTTACCACAAGGTGGCCCCTAAATCACAATCACAGGGGCGTTGTTAGAACATTTTTGCTCAGAATTGCCCATAATATGTTTTATTATTTCTCATGCTCAATTTTAAGATTTTTAAAAGTTAAAAAAATATATACAGTGCCTTGCGAAAGTATTAGGCCCCCCTTGAACTTTTCAACCTTTTGCCACATTTCAGGCTTCAAACATAAAGATATTAAATTGTATTTTTTTGTGAAGAATCAACAACAAGTGGGACACAATCGTGAAGTGGAATGAAATTTATTGGATGTGTCAAACTTTTTTAACAAATAACAAACTGAAAAGTGGGGCGTGCAATATTATTCATCCCCCTTGCGTTAGTACTTTGTAGCGCCGCCTTTTGCTGCAGTTGCAGCTGCAAGTCTCTTGGGGTTTGTCTCTTTCAGTTTTGCACATGGAGAGACTGAAATTCTGCCCATTCTTCTTTGTGAAACAGCTCGAGCTCAGTGAGGTTGGATGGAGAGCGTTTGTGAACAGCAGTCTTCAGCTCTTTCCACAGATTCTCGATTGGATTCAGGTCTGGACTTTGACTTGGCCATTCCAACACCTGGATACGTTTATTTGTGAACCATTCCATTGTAGATGTTGCTTTATGTTTTGGATCATTGTCTTGTTGGAAGATAAATCTCTGTCCCAGTCTCAGGTCTCTTGCAGACTCAAACAGGTTTTCTTCCAGAATGGTCCTGTATTTGGCCCCATCCATCTTCCCATCAATTCTGACCATCTTCCCTGTCCCTGCTGGAGAAAATCAGGCCCAAACCATGATGCTGCCACCACCATGTTTGACAGTGGGGATGGTGTGTTCAGGGTGATGAGCTGTGTCGCTTTTACGCCAAACATATCATTTTGCATTGTGGCCAAACAGTTTGATTTTGGTTTCATGTGACCAGAGCACCTTCTTCCACATGTTTGGTGTGTCTCCCAGGTGCTTGTGTCAAACTTTAAACAGCACTTTTTATGGATATCTTTGAGAAATGGCTTTCTTGTGCTATGGACAGACTCTCCCACCTCAGCTGTAGATCTCTGCAGTTCATCCAGAGTGATCATGGGCCTCTTGGCTGCATCTCTGATCAGTCTTCTCATTGTTCGAGATGAAAGTTTAGAGGGACAGCCGGGTCTTGGTAGATTTGCAGTGGTCTGATACTCCTTCCATTTCAATATGATTGCTTGCACAGTGCTCCTTGGGATGTTTAAAGCTTGGGAAATCATTTTGTATCCAAATCCGGCTTTAAACTTCTCCACAACAGTATCTCGGACCTGCCTGGTGTGTTCCTTGGTCTTCATGATGCTCTCTGCGCTTTGAACAGAACACTGAGACTATCACAGAGCAGGTGCATTTATACGGAGACTTGATTACACACAGGTGGATTCTATTTATCATCATCAGTCATTTGGGACAACATTGGATCATTCATAGATCCTCACTGAACTTCTGGAGTGAGTTTGCTGCACTGAAAGTAAAGGGGCCGAATAATATTGCACGCCCCACTTTTCAGTTTTTTATTTGTTAAAAAAGTTTGACACATCCAATAAATTTCATTCCACTTCATGATTGTGTCCCACTTGTTGCTGATTCTTCACAAAAAAATTAAATTTTATATCTTTATTTTTGAAGTTGGGCAGGATGGTGGCGCAACTGGTAGAGCTGCTGCCTCTCAGCGAGCAGGTCCTTGGTTCAAACCCCGGTCCAGGGGCCTTCTGGGTGGAGTTTGCATGTTCTATCCGTGCATGCATGGGTTTTCTCCGGGTGCTCTGGTTTCCTCCCACAGACCAAAAACATGCATGTTAGGCTGATTGGTAACTCTAAATTGTCCCTAGGTGTGAGTGAGAGAGTGAATGGTTGTTTGTCTCGTTTGTCTCTATGTGGCCCTGTGATGGACTTGCGACCTGTCCAGGGTGTACCCCGCCCCTCGCACAGTGATTGCTGGACATGGGCACCAGCGATCCCCGTGACCCAAAATGGAATAAGCGGGTAAAGATAATGGATGGATGGATATTTGAAGCCTGAAATGTGGCAAAAGTTTGAAAAGTTCAAGGGGGCCGAATACTTTCGCAAGGCACTGTATTTTAGTAATTTGCATTTTGTGCCTTTTTTAATATACTCAAAATAAAATGAGTCCAATCTGAGGATTTTAAACAACCATTTTCTTAGAGTCTCTGCTTTTAAAATGTGACAGAATGCTTCTGAGTTGGGAACACTAAAGTTACAACAAATGATGACATGTTTCACTTTGTTTTGTTACTTCCCTTCATCGTAAGACCTGTCCAGATCTCCTGATGTCTGGTCTTCTTCATCAGACTGGTCTGACACAATATTTATTATCTCAAGCAAATGTGTGCCTTAAAGTATGCACAGTTTTACAACAAAGTACAAAGTACAAACAAAGTACAAGGTTTGTTGTTTGCGCTATATGTACAGACCAACAATCCAGGCACACTGGAATTCCTGTGCAGATCTCTCCCAGTCATAGTCAAAACACTGAAACAACACTGAAGAAATAACAAAAATAAAATTACATGCTGTGTATTTTGATTTTTAAATTATGTTATTGTTTTTGTTTATTGCTGTGGGCTTCTCAGCTAATTGGGTTATCTATCTTTTTTATTATTTATTTTTTTATTCATTCATTCATTGTATTTGCTTAATGCTGCTTCTAATACTATTTTTTGGTTGTGACAAAATTTACTGGTTTGAGACAAGATTTGGATTCATGCACGACAGGCACGTTATTTGCAAAAACATGTTTTCTATTTCATAGAGTTTATGGATAAATATAACAACAAATGTGTTTATCATTTCCACTCTTGACATCTGAGGCTGCTCAGAAAACTTCCACACTCAAGACAAACCCTCAGACTGCAGCTCTAATCTTTTATCATTTCTCATGGGCACCTTCTCATATTGCCAGGCTGTCATCATAGTTGGTGTGATTATTGTGTATTTATTCATTTAAATTTGTCACATTCCACCCGAGTTGGACCCAAAAATGTAAACTTGACTCAAGAAACTCAGAAAAACACATTTTTAAATGTAAAATTAAAAACAAAAAGCTAACTTGGCAACTAAAATCCTACTAACAAAAACCTGTAGAATTACAAGGATCAAGTAGAGGAGCACATCTAAACCTGAAAGGAGTCAGACTGTCTTGAAGTTGATGAGGATGCATTAGTGGGGCAGGTAAGCAGGAAGCAAAATTAACTGAAACAAACTGATGAAATTGAACTAAACCAAAATAACCTCATCAAAACAAAAAAAATAATAATAATCACACAATATAAAGCCTTGGAAAAGGTGGAAGTAATTACAGTTTAATATTAACCTAAGAAGGTCTTTGGAGTCCTTTTGGTTTAATGTTACCGTGGTTTTTCATGTTTTACCCAAAACCAGCAATAACATTCTGATTCACACGTCATGATGCAAGTTAATTATCTGGATCTTTTGCCATTTTTGATCTTTTGCAATTACATGTTATTTTTACACACTTTCATTTCCTATTTCACAATCCATTCTTCATCATTGTCATTCTTTCAAATTTCCTTTAACCTTTACATGGCATGAAAATCTGTTATTTTTTAACAACTAAAATGTTCATTTCAAATTGGGAATGATGGCGAGGTTAATAACACTTCTGGAACAGCTGTAATACAATCCGTCTTTAGCTTTTTGCTAAACCTAGTCTAGTCTAGCTTCGCTTGGCGCATGCGTCCACAGGTCCAAAAGTGCCATTTGATTTTGTTCTCTACCACTGTGAGCAAATATAGATTTGGTTTAATCCCTTAAAGGTCAGTGTGTCTTTCAAAAGTTGATTCTCTGCACGAAATATGTCAACAAAACAAAGGCTGACATGATTCAGATGGCCCGGTCACAAGGGATGAAGGATTAAGGAACAAAACAACGCTGTAGTTCATTCTGTTTCATATTCACAATAATTACTTTGTGTTCATCAGTAGATGGGTAGGATTACTGTCAGGATGTCGTACAGTATCTGTGCTTGTTTGAGTTTAGTTTGTTTAGTCATCTAAGTATTATTCCTTTCGAGGTTTATGTTTTATTGTTGTCCTTTGAGTTCTACTATTCTAGATTGGGTCTTGTTTTATGAGTGTTTCTTGTGACGTCTTCCATTCACCCTCAGCAGTTCTCAGTGTTTTTCAGATCAGCCTGCCATGTGCCCTCACCTGTGCCCAATCAGTGTTCAGCCCAGGTGTTCCCACTTTCACTCAGTTTGCTATTTAAACCATCCCTTGTCACCACCTCACCATCGGCTCATTATTTTGAAAATGCTCTCAGAAGTTTCGATCCTCCTTGTGCTCCCTGTGTTTTCCACTTCTCAGTTTTTGTTGTAAGTTGTTGCCTTTTATTTCATCCATCCATCATCTGTACCCGCTTCTTCCTTTACGGGTCGTGGGGGGTCACTGGTGCCCATGGCCAGCTATCACTGTGTGAGGGGCAGGGGACACCCTGGACAGGTCCCCAGTCCATCACAGGGACATACAAAACAACCATTCACTCTCTCACTCACACCTAGGGACAATTTAAGAGTTACCAATCAGCCTAACATGCATGTTTTTGGTCTGTGGGAGGAAACAGGAGCACCCGGAGAAAACTCACGCATGCACGGAGAGAAAATGCAAACGTCACCCAGAAAGGTCCTGAGCCCAGATTTGAGCTAGCGACCTTCTCGCTGCGAGGTAGCAGCTTTACCGACTGCGCCACCGTGCTGCCTCCTTGAATTTTCATTTTTAGTAAAAATAAATAAGTTGTACTTTTACTTTGATTCTCTTGATTTTCTTGCCTGCATTTGGATTCAATCCTTCACCGACCGTGATACAGGAGTTTACTAAATATAGATTCCTACAGATAAAAGGTTTTGTTTGTTTTTTTCCTTCTTGCTCTTGGCGAAGGTGACACTTTTCCCTCCTGCTCCTTCGCTGCTCTGCTCTTTGTCCTGTGAGCCTTTCACCTCCTTCACTGGCCTCCCTCATCTAACAAAACAGGAAGCGCCTCTCAGTGAGGCTGCAGCCTCAGACACCCCGTCTACTCTGTCTGTTGTTTGTTTGTGTTTCTTCAGATGGGCTGTACTGAAATGTAATTACACTGTGCTTCAATTCAATGACAACACATTCTGATATAATGTATTTCACTTTGAGCAGAGCCTGTGCTGCAGAACATATGAACACATATGTCCAAATAATAAACCCCTAATGCTGGGAACAGTGGTTTATTGTAAACTGTCTTGCATGTAAAAGTACACAGTAACTGTTATTACATTATTTATAGCGAGTGCAACATTGAAGTGCTACATTAGGCTAAATCTGCTAAAACTAAGTGTCTTGATTTCCTTTAAGGAATGCATATGAATATCACCTGCTGTATTTGATATCAGATTCTTAGACTAAGATAATCCATCCATCCATTTTCTTTACCCGTTTATTCCATTTTGGGTCACGGGGGTCACTGGTGCCCATGTCCAGCAATCACTGTGCGAGGGGCGGGGTACACCCTGGACAGGTCGCAAGTCCATCACAGGGACACATAGAGACAAATGAGACAAACAACCATTCACTCTCTCACTCACACCTAGAGACAATTTAGAGTTACCAATCAGCCTAACATGCATGTTTTTGGTCTGTGGGAGGAAACCGGAGTACCCGGAGAAAACCCACGCATGCACGGAGAGAACATGCAAACTCCACCCAGAAAGGCCCCTGGACCGGGATTTGAACCAGGGACCTGCTCGCTGAGAGGCAGCAGCTCTACCAGTTGTGCCACCGTGCTGCCACTAAGATAATCATACTTTGTATTTTAAGAAGTAACAGTTTGGGTTAAACTTTCAAATTACCATTAGGGGCAATGCCTTGCAAGATATATTGTGTGACTGCATGATGTGTAAGTGCTTACAGTATGTGTTGTTTACAACTCTCAGCTACTACCACCAAACTTATTCATTCAACCTTTATTAAGACAGGTTAATCCCATTGAGCCTCGAGGAGTCATTTACTAGAGAGACCTGAAATATTATATTATTTCAATAATATATCAATATATCAATAATATTATATATTATTATAAAATTATATTATATAATATATAAATATTATACTCATTTATATTAAAATTCACTCGAGTGTAGCAGTTTTGTTGTTGTTTTTTTTCTGTCTGAGCTTGACTGTGTGTGGAGGCCGCCTTGAATTGGGTTGACTCCAGTGATAAACATCCAATAAATATTTTCTGAAAGTTTCACTACAATCTGTCTGGTGGTTTATCAGATATTTTGCTAACAGACATAAATGGTTGACTCTAACAGATATTGCCATGGTTTAAGCAAAAATATTGTACAATGAGTTGTTGTTGGAATAAGTGTTGGGGGGAGGATGCTCAACTACTACCACACAAAAGTCCAGCTCAACATTTGTGAAATCGTTTGAGTTGTAATGTTTGCGTTTTATAATATTTTTTATAATGTAATTTGCTGTAGCAACCGTCTTGAATATGGACTGAGTCCAAAATATAACGAGTTGTGATGCAGACACATGTGGACTTCCTTAAAGGCGCCCCCAGCATCCCCGCACCAAAACACAAAGGCGCGTTGTGCAACTAATTGAGGGCTTTATTTGGCGCATGAAGCGTTTGTGCGGTTTTGTTCATTAAAGCATTCCTGCGCGGATTGGGGGCGACACAGAGAGGGGGGGGAGCTTTATATAATGACCTGCACGCTTTTTCACGTGAAATGCCCCTTTTATAAGCTGTCTCTGCGCTGACGGACCCGAGAGGGGTGAAGTCTGCGTCTGCTGCAGCTTTCACATGCATGAGCCCGGTGCCAGGATGGTGGCGTCGCACCCTTTGCCGGAGGGCTTCACCGAGTTTGATGTGTTTTCGCTGGGATCGTGTCTGCTGGTGGAAGGTGAGTGCTTTTGCCCTGGAATTCAACCAGACACCACAGTGGGTTGTGCCCGCCTCGGTCTCTGCAGCTGCAAGACAGAATCCGATTTTGTTTCCGTGAAGTCGCAAATTAAAAAACTACCAGCGCTGGTGCGTGAGCGTCAAATAATGCATGCAGTTTGACACACGGCGTGTCTTTGTTTGGACACGCGCAGACGCGCCGCCGTGCGCTCTGTGGTTGTGCAGCCAGGATTGTAACATCTGTGCTTGTTGTTCCACCAAAGGGCTGCTGGGCTTCTCGCTGAACGCGGTGACAATCGTTGCTTTCCTCAAAGTCAGAGAGCTGAGGACCCCCAGCAATTTCCTGGTGTTCAGTTTAGCCATGGCTGACATTGGCATCTCCATGAACGCCACTGTTGCAGCTTTCTCCAGCTTCCTGAGGTGAGTTATGTAACCCTCTCAGGATGTTAAGGGCTGCACCTGGGGCTAAATGAAAAGTCATCTAATGGCACATAGAGCTGAGTCCGATCTGTCAGTGTCAGATAGATTTTCAACCTGACGAAGACGAAGATGCTGCTCTTAGTACAGTATTCACTGGTTCTAAGATTAGAAATGCTCCTTTATCCATCCACGTTTGAAGCATGAAAAACCAAACCTCCTCTAAATACTTTCTCACATCAGCTTTTACTCATGTTTGATATAGAAAATAAAATCTCTCTTGTCACATCCTGCTGCTGGGAATGTAATATCATGAAAAAATATCTTTGGACTGCAGGTACTGGCCTTACGGCTCGGAAGGGTGCCAGACTCACGGTTTCCATGGCTTCTTGACAGCTCTTGCCAGCCTCAACTTCATAGCAGCCATTGCCTGGGACAGATATCATCAGTATTGTACTAGTAAGCTTCTTCTGATGTAGCGCACAGTAAAAATGGTAAAAGCACTCATTAATGTTGGATGAACCTTGTTGTTGCCAGGGACGAAGCTGCGGTGGAGCAGTGCTATCAGTCTGGTTGGTTTTGTTTGGGCATTTGCTGCCTTCTGGGCAGCCATGCCCCTCATTGGCTGGGGAGAGTACGACTACGAGCCTCTCAGGACTTGCTGCACACTGGACTACAGCAAAGGAGACTGGTACTGCGCATGTGCAAATTGTTTACTCTGAAGTGAAATGCTTGTTTCTTCTGCTTTTCTGATTTCAGTTCACATTCAATTGTTGTCTTTTTTATATAAGTTTCATTTAAAGTCAAAGCACTGAAGATTTTTGTGCATAACAAAACATGATAAACGTCTACATTAATTATAACCATTGCACAGTCTTTCATGGTTATTGTGTCTTTCAACAGGAATTATGTGTCGTACTTGATCCCAATGAGCATCTTCAGCCTGGGCATTCAGACGTTTGTTGTCCTGACTTCTTACCAGTCCATTGCGCAGAAGTTCAAAAAAACAGGAAACCCCGCGGTACGTAATGTAATCAAGCATGAACCACCAACGTTATGGGATTCTCTTGTAAAGATTGCATATTTTCTGCAACACTAGTGAACATGGATAAAAAAAGAGAAATCTGAGGTTCAACTGGCCTTAAGGCACAAACATTTATGCTTCATTTGATCAAAACTTAATACCATATAGCAGCTTTATTTATAGAGCACTTTAAACACCCACAGGACCAAACTGCTACACACATAATAAAACAATCATACAGTCAGATAATAAAAACTATTAAAATGATTAAAAATCAAAATTTCAGATGGTGTCAAAGGTCAGGGAGAAGAGATGGTTTTAAGAAGGGATTTAAAAACAGACAGGGAAGAGGTCTGTCTGATGTTCAAGGGAAGGTCGTTCCATAATTTAGGAGCTGCCACAACAAAAGCACGGCCTCCTCTGAGCTTACGCTTTGTCTTCGGCACACTCAGGAGCAGCTGATCACATGACCTGTGGGATGGAGAGGGTGTGTATGGATGTAGCAGCTCAGACAGATAGAGCAGGGCAAGTAAGAGCTTTAAAGGCAAATAAAATATTTTTTAAATGAATCCTAAAATGTACGAGCAGCCAGTGCAGGGAGGCTAAAACAGGTGAAATGTGGTCAAACTCTTGTGTGCCAGTTAAAAACCGTGCAACAGCATTCTGTACCGTCTGAAGCTGAACGATACATGAACCACGGATTCTTGTATAGAGTGTGTTACAGTAATGCAGCCGAGTGGTCAAAAGACATGAACTACTGTTTCAAAATACCACCATGAAAGAATCGGCTTTACTTTAGCTGCATCAAATGGAAATAACTGGATTTAACAACCGCTCTGATGTGATTTTCTAACTTTAGTCCAGCATAGACTTTGACCCCTAGGTTTAGTTGGCCTCATATACTGGGCCAAGGAGCCAACATCTACAAAGGGGGTCTCAGTGGAGCTTCCAAAGACCAGCACCTCAGTCTTACCCTCATTAAACTTTAAAAAAGTTCACAACCATCCAGACTTTTATGTCTTTCAGACATGAAAACAGAGTTCCCAGAGAGTTACAGTCCTTTATCTTTAGCAGGACATATATCTGTGCATCATCCACTTAACAATGAAATGAGATCCCATATTTTCTAAAAAAATAGAGCCAAAATGGAGCAGGCACATCGTTAATATTACACATTATTCAAGGTTTCTTAAATTTAATAAAGTAAAAAATTTTAAGCAGTTTAACAATTCAAACTTCCTTACATGCTTGTTATTCAAAGAACCAGAACAGACTACAAGAGGCATGCTTGCTGGGACAGATATAGGTCATCGCCACAGGGGGAATGACCGAGTGTTTTAGTTTAGAATGCAGACAGGCGGTAGCTGGTGTTTCAGCAACAAAACAGTGTACGTGCAAAGTTCAGTAGAGTTCTGTGGGGATTTAATCAGATGACCCCCACGTTACGTTGCATAATCCCATTCTTCACAGTCATCTGAGCTGACGGCAGACTTTCATTGCACAATGTTGAGAACAAGTGTTCAAGCAAACTATGAAAGCTTAGCCAATAAAGAGCTTTGTATTCGCCTCATAAATGTGCATATGGTTTAAGTCACAGGGAGATAAATGGTCACAAGTGTCTTGGCCTAAAGGTGTTCTTTAAGAACATAAATCAACCATCAAATTTAGGTCAAACTCACAGAAGTTTTATTGAATACTCAGTGAGAAAAGTTTCAAACTCTTTGGAAACTGGAACAAAGAGAGCAAGTGATTAAAACATCTAACTTAAGATGGATTTTTTTGTTGTTGCTTTTTCTGCTTTTCAGCTCTTAATAAAGATCTTAACATACACAGTCTCCCGCCAGCAGCGTTCCACATGTGATTTGCCTCCAGGTGGAACACGTCATGACAGAAAGCCTTGTTGAATCTCTACTTTACAAATCTTTCTTGCTCTTGTCTCTTTTCCTTTTGGCTCTGCAGTTCAACCCCAGCAATCCTCTGAAGGCGTTGTTGTTCTGCTGGGGTCCCTACGGCATCCTGGCTTACTACGCTGCTGTGGAGAACGCCACCCTGCTGTCGCCTAAACTCAGGATGGTATGGACAAGCACAACAAGTCTTCATATAGCTTCACTATATTCTAGTATACAATATGAGATGCAAATATAAACTTTTTTCCTCCTTCAAGTTTCTAATTTTCTGGAGAAAACAAACAAAAAAAAAAGTCAGCTTAACTATGATTTTCCAGCAGATGCACAAAATAACTCTACATTTGTTGTCTTTGAGCCCTGAATTTTTTTTTATTTTTTTTTTTGGTGCCTGTTTGTACAGATCGCTCCCATCCTGGCTAAGACTTCTCCCACCTTCAATCCCTTCCTGTACGCTTTGGGGAATGAGAACTACAGAGGAGGCATTTGGCAGCTTCTTACCGGGGAAAAGATTAATGCACCTCAAACTGAGAATAAATCCAAATAAACAAAGCATACAGTTTATGGTTTTGTCTGTGAGCAGCTGTATGTGTTGTGTCTCGAGCAGTAAGAACCTCTTGTTTGCATCTGTTTTCCTGTTGCCTTCACAGAACATATCATAAAGCAACATTGGGACTTGTAACTTTCATGCTGCTAAGAATGGGCTGAAGGAAAGTAGCCTGTTCAGAACAGTGCACATCCATTGTACTACTGTATATGATGCACACTAACACAACAAATGTGGCCTTTTTTCCAGTTTTAATGTAATATTTACAATTAAATAAGAGTGACATTCATTTCGATCTAATTTTGGTTATTGTTGAAAATAAATTGTGTCCATGTTGTATGTATTTTAGGCAACATCTTTGTTCTAAAAATGTGACCATCTGAACTCTTTCATTCAATTTTATTATTACATCTTTAACCTGTTTTGGATTTATTTCTTTCAGACGATCCATGTGATTGAAGGGGAAGTATTTTTATTTAATCTAATTACATTTTGTCGTAATGTCAGTACACGTGAGGGGCAGGGACCTGTCACTGAAATGTGAAAGTGCACTAACCCCAGATGAGTGATTTCTGTATCCTGAGTAAAACTGCCGTAATGCTCTAAAGTGGACCGTTCTTCAATATACGGCCCTCATGGCTAATTTAAGATTAATCCAAGGCTTTAGATTAACAGGAAACACTTCATAACTTGACTTGCAGTCAAACAAGAAACCTAAGAAATGGTCATGGCTGTTTATTTACCTGAACAAATATGATGCTCTTTGTGGGTGAATTTAGACTTCATGATTGTTTCTGGGTGTTAGAGATCCATTCTGAAAAGTGATCATCCTTTATATTGACTGTTTTGTGTATCAACAAACATGTTTTCATAATTTGTGATTTTAACACAAATGCCTGGCTTTGAGAATGGGAGAGTTTAACATTTCTTTGCATTTATTATGTTGTTAAAATTATCACAGGTTTTAAAAATCATGTCGTCCATTCATTTCTAATATAGTATATCATGTAATGAGTGTATTTTAAGTGTGCCTTTAATTGATTTACTTTATTGCAAGAGTTATTGATATTTATGAACACATGTCAAATCAAATCTCTGCTTTGTGTTGCACACGTGACCATTGACAAAAAATTAATTCCAAACAGCTCAAACAAACCGATGCAAACCCAGACCCTCACTGCTAAACTGATTATTTTTAATCCTAAGAAATAAAAAAAGTCCTTCAATATTTGTAATAATGTTTAATGCAATTACATGTACAGTGAGTTTTGTATTGTTAATGTTTCCCAAAAAAGCATTGTATTCGCTTGTATAAACGTCACGTGTTAAACAATAATAAAGCATTGCAACGATAAAAAAAGACTTTTTACCTTTTGTGGGTTTTGTTTTATTTTTACTCAATGCCCATCCAACTTATTTTCACTGCTATTTTTGTGTACGAAAGTTACCACAGAAATATAAAATCAGTCAGTTACTGCAAAATAGAGCAGTATACTCTAACAGAATATTGTTTATTTATTTTCTGTTTTCCATATATTCTAACTAAAAATTCAGATCAGTATTAGAAACTGCACCAGGGACTCTACCTGTTTGTATTTGTAATTATTTATATCCTAAACATGTTGTTTGTGTCTTTCTTCCAATAGGGGGTACACATGGACCTGTTTGTTTCTCCTTCCTGTTCCTCTCAAACCCAACCGGTCAAAGCAGATGGCCACTCGTCCTGAGCCTGGTTCTGTTGGAGGTTTCTTCCTGTTAAAAGGGAGCTTTTCCTTTCCACTGTTGCCATTGTTCTTGCTCAGGATGGGAGACTGCAACAAAGTGAAGATTCAAGGAGTCAGCTGGCTTCCTTAAATACTGTCGATAATTTTACTAATTGTCTTTTATAATGTACTGTATGTGAATGTCCTGAGACACCGTTGTCAGACATTCTAAGTTTGAAACTGTTCACACACCAGTAAGTTCAATCAAATGACCTGACCTGTAGTCAGTTCAGCGAGTTTAAAACAATGGATCCAACGAAGAAAAACTAGGAAGAGGAAAAAGACAACAAGGAGTTAAAATGCTCACAAAAATACAAATACCTCATGCTGATTGTGTTTATGACTATGCTGAAATAATTTAATAATTTGCTTTCCTAATCAGCTTTAAAAATGAATTGTGTTTCATAATTTAAAAAAATAAATCAACTGGGGAACCGTGTTTTATATCATCAAGAAATGGGTTCATGTTTTATGGGTGTATTGATTTGGCTCACAATAATAGTGTGCAACTGAAGAAAGGGGGAAAAGGTAAATTAATTACTAAGTGAGTTTAAAAAATGAACCAGTGTGTTTGAGACATGATCACCTTTACCTTAGTGCGTTATATTTTGTCTGAAATGTGCCACTGCATGTTAAGACGATCATTAAAATTTAGATCAGAGAATGAATTCCTCGGTGGATGTGTGTCAGTGTAATCCCAGTGATTAAAGAATGTGTTCGCTCAGTATGATGAATAGAACACACAGAGGTTGCAACATACACTGGAAGCACCCAGCTGGGCGTTCTAAGCAGATTAATTGATGACAGCCTGTCTTTGGAGCGAGGCGTTGCATAATTATTTACTAATGTCACATGTGCTGAGGGCAAACCCTTCTCTTGCATCATGAGCAATTTTATCACATATTCCAGCTAATTTGGAAATTTTTATATAAGGACGCAACAAAACAACTTTTTTGGACAAACGTTGCATGTCTTGAACAAATCGTTCGCTTCTGATCAATGCACAGTATTCATCAGAATCGGAAGCCAGATGACGCTGAAGTCCTCACTGATGGACACATGGAGCGGTCAGATGGTGGGAAGAGTTTGACCCCACATCCTGAACCACGCTGTGATCAGCTGATGGTGGAGTTTTTTGTGGAATTCAAAGAACATTATGCAAGAAATAATGACAAAAATAAACGCATCATCAAGCTACATTTGCAGCATTGCTCGACTTCTTTTGAAGCAAAGGTGCAGCCTTTCCTAGAGACAAGACAGTAGACGTTTACTGACTTTTTAAAACAAAATTTATTCCAGTTATAGTTAAAAACTGCGTTTTTAGTGTTTTATTGCAGATTCAAACTTCACTTACACCATTTAAGCCTTAAAATGTCACACAGCGAAATTAAACAATTACGAATGAATTTAAACATTTTTTTTAACTTGCTTAAAGAGATTATTAGAAGCTAATATTAATGTGTCATCATAGATGATGTTCACAGATTATTTATTTAACGCACACAGGCTTAAGAATTCACATGAACTGACAGCGGGATTATTTTGTACTCCGAGTCCAAATGTCTGGCAGAAAACCGTGGTTAGTTTTTTTTTTTTTTTTTCATCCGCTTTCCCTCTCTTACAATCAAACATATTCAGGTACTTAGAGTTCACAGAGGATTATGCCTGGTCAACCAATGAAGATTTCATATGGGCTTTTTGAGAGGATTACACAGCAATATGAGTAGGAGTGCAGCAAAATAAGGGAATCAAAGAGAGCAAGGCCTGTTTGAGAAACACAGAGAAGTCGTGTGGAAGAGATGAGATGGGTTTTTTTTAGCAATTAGAGGAAAATTAACTGTCACCATAATCTTTATGAATTTAAATTATGTGGTTTGTGTATAGGTTGCATCCCAGGCTGTTGTTGTTGGTAAAGGATGTGGGTAACATGACTCGGGGAGTGAAATAATTCATGTGTTGCATCTGCAAGGGAGTTGCTTGAACCAAAAACGTTTGGATCTTTTCAAGTGGTATTCTGTGGAAAGGTCATGAACAATTAGTATCTTACCTGTTGTAGATAGCGCCTTGAACGTCCTCATTTTGCATGTTCTGGGTGGGGGTAGGCGTGTTTGTTCCTTCTGAAATCCACAATCATCTCCTTTGTCTTCTTCACATTGATGTGAAGGTTGTTCTTCTTGCACCAGCTCTCCAGGTGTTCCACTCCCTGCCTGTAGCTGGACTCATCGTTGTTTGTGATGCATCCCACCACCGCTGTATCATGTCTGCTTGGAAAACTCTAATATGATATCTAACATTTAATAATAATAATAACAGCTAGCTCGCCAAACTAGCCAGAGCTCATCATTGTTTCTCCAAAGTGGCATTGTTAAATGAGTCATCGGCAACTTATAAAATATTAATCGTTCCTACCTTTCCATAAAACCTCATAATGGAAGTTCTGAACACTATTGTTTTACAGCAGGGTGAGCCATTTGACGAGTCCAAAAGACTAAATATCTCACTGACTCAGATCAATACATTAAGACTAAAAAGTCTGAATGTCATTTCCAGAAATATTACAATAGTTAAAAATTAAAAATAAAATAAACATTTTACACATATTGGTTAATTACTCTGTCTGTCTGTCTGTCTGTCTGTCTGTCTGTCTGTCTGTCTGTCTGTCTGTCTGTCTGTCTGCCTGCCTGCCTGTCTGCCTGTCTGTCTGTCTGTCTGTCTGTCTAAAAATGCTAATATGTAGAAACAGAAAGATGATTTGTAGCCAATGGCGTCTCGTGAAATATTTAAAGACCAAAGAGCCTCAGGTGGACCACACCTTACTTTAATGATCCTGGTTGTCTGATTTGAAACTGATTAAATTTGTCAGACAGAAAAGTCCTGCAGATTCAACAACAACAATGTTCTCTCTCTCTCTCTCTCTCTCTCTCTCTCTCTCTCTCTCTCTCTCTCTCTCTCTCTCTCTCTCTCTCTCTCTCTCTCTCTCTCTCTCTCTCTCTCTCTCTCTCTCTCTCTCTCTCTCTCCGAGCAGCCACAGGATGGTCAATCCTAATGCTGAGCACAGCTGCTCTTCCAATCAATTCAATGTATGTAGGACATCCCTCAGTGTGTGCTGAATTTAAAGATATATATAAATATTTAGGTAACATATATGTAGCAATATATTTTCCAGATTTAGTGATAAAACAACAGAACTCACCACATATGTCACACATTAGAAAAGCATATTTTTGTAAGAAGAAACTGGGTTTACACAGGATTCTCATTTCAATGTAATCTGGATTAAAGTGGAGATGTGCGTCACTGCTCTTTAGAAAATCGCTGTTTTAAATCAATAAAACACACACTGGGAACAATGTGGAGGATAATATGATCACTTTCAGTAACAGATTTGTTACACACACACAATAACACACAAAATATTGTCCAACAGCAGTGTGTGTTCATAATTTTATTATATATATA